GAATGCCGTATCGCTTCATAACCGGCTTCATAGCAATACATAGGAAAGCTATTAAATTTGCATACATGTATGATCGCAGAATAATATTGATTTCCTACTCGCACACTGCCAGAGGAAGTTTCTAATCTGTCATGAAAATATAATGCAGACTGAAAGTGCTCCTGCGAGAAATTTCATCACGGACACCAGGGCAACGGGAAAACCATTTTATAAGCATGTCTTGTCATAAATGTCAATTCTAATAAAGGCGTGACTAAAGAGCGAACCTGACGAAACTGCAACGGAGTTATAAAAATAAGAAAAATTAGTTAACTGTAAAAATGAGTCTTACGCACGAAAAGTGTCACTGTCATTCAATATCAGCTAGGACAAACCCTGCTATTAGGATAAATAGGGAAGATGTAGTTTTACCTTCACTGCGGAAGTACTGTATTCGATGTAGCGGAGAACACAATGATTCATCCATTATCAGTGTTCCCGCAGTTAGGAGACTCAAGTAATGAAAAGAGTTTACTTTTACAGTGAGTTAGACGATTTTACATTTTTGCAGAGGTAAAGAGATCATAATTATAAATCAGACATCAAGAAGTGCGACAAACGTCAATGTAAGTGTAAAGGAAAAACGCAACAACGATGTTCGACACAGACTAAACAGTAGGCTGGTTCTTGAATGCTCAAAATCGCATTACAAGTTTTTATGTTGAGGCGTTAGGCGGATCGTTTCCATAAGAATCTGCGCTCTCCGCAACAGCCTTACTTTCCATATGACGCTCCTCTGGAACATGACCCAAACGTTCAAAGAGAATCGCCTTTCTTGAAGCACTGTTAGTTTCTATAGAAGTTAATAGAGCAATTCGTTCGTGCGTTGGTAGTCCGTTTTGAAACAATAGCGTAAAACAGTTTATTTATACACAATGCAAATGGTAGTACGGTCAGTGACTGACCAATACCAATGTTTCGGTCAGTGTTTCATGGGCCTTTTTCAAGGTAGATGAATGGTGAAGTTTCGTGAATATGGTTGACCGTCCACGGCGGTCGATAGTTTTGGGGCCATTGACTAAACTTCACTTATGATGAACTACAGTGTGAATTAATTGCTCACCACGAACACAATCATGTAGACACGTATGTGTTACATTGATTTGACGTAAACACAACTGATTATTTATTGGCTGATTTTTGTTGGTTGCAGAAGGAGCGGCCTTAGTGCTATTCTACGAATCAACCAAAGAATTGGTAGTGATAGTTAATGGGTGAAGCAGAGTGTAGATTAGAAATGAGAATGAGATCATATTTTTAGCGCTAACAAGGGTACGCTACAGACATGAATTAAGAAAAGTGTTGTCTGCAATTTCCGCGACCCGGAAGGAGAAGCGATCATGGAAGATGATGATGATGAGTGCAAAGAAAAACAAGTTTTTGTGGTTGCCTGAAAGATGCTATAAGTGCTACGAAGAAAAGAACACTAATGCAAATACCACAAGATGTGTCCGGTTACGACTAGTTGGCGAGGTACTTCATACAACAGGAGGAGTGCTCTGTTCGCCCTCAGACAACGAACTTTGCGATTACTGAGACTAAGTGACTTTATTAAAGTAAGTGGGTACCAATTTTGCATGAGTAATTAATGCTTAATAATTGAATGATGTTTCCATCAAGCAAAACGGTTTAAAACCTGGACAAAATCTTGAAATTACCGAGCTTCCAGAATCTAAAAAAGTGTTTCTTTATCAGCTGTCATGCAAAAATGCAATTATTAAAAGTCAAAAATAACAGTCTTTGATTCCGAAAGCTCTGCAACTTCAAAAAATGATTTTTTTCGTTTTGAACTATTTCGCATCATTGTTGCATTTCGCTTTTTATCGCTCGTGTTATGTACTTTCCGACTGATAATGCAGTGAAGAAAGGTATTCTCAAGTTACGCTTTGTATCTTTGCAGTAACAGCATTACATTTCATAATTCGTTTTTAGAAAAGAATAGATTTTATTCAACGGTATAAGCTGAACAACTAACAACATCTAATATTGTTTTGCTACAGTCTACACAACCGCTGGTAATGCAAAAAAGCCCTGAAGCAAAGAAGCGAAGAATGAACACGGTCCCCGTTTAGGCTCATGTTCAGAGTGACAAGAAAATGGGCAAAAGATGCGACTTCAGATTCCTACGATGCCAAGAGAAAATGGGCTCGCCTGACAGGCAAATAGGATGTCAAGAATCATGATTTAGAATCTGCAGGAACGACTTGATGATCAAATTACGTGGCCATTGGTAGATGCAGAAAGAAGACAATAGAAAATAATGTAGAAGTGTCGATTAGCGTTCACGGCGCATCTATAAGAAAGACAAATCAGGTAGCAGACACGGTACTTCAACTGCGACCAATTTCTTTCAAAGTAGGAACACATCAATTCAACGAGTTACATAAACGTGCAAAATAGTGAATAAGACCATGCAGTCGTTTAAAAGACATTATAGTGTTACTTTCACCTACAATTGGAACGAACGGCCATACCGCAGGAACAGACGGCAATCCAGTATGAACTGGCTTTTCACCATTACTTACAGTTGTGGTGCTTAATATGAAACAGTTTGAATGGATCTGCCCATGTCATTAAGATCATATTGTTAGGAGAAACAGAGTTTTATCATTAGTCCAGGCAAAGGGTTTAGAACCACCTTCTGTATTTATTACCAAAGAATGCACTATGGGAGCATACGTTCAAATAATGCTCAAGAATAGACGATTAATATCTTGCTCAGGGACTAATGTGAAGTTTTAATTGAGGAGAGCTAGCAAAGACGAAATTATTTGACCTTGTTGCAACGTGAACTGCTGTACTGTATTAGGACATCAGCATTGCTACCACGACAGCCTTGAAGTTCGACTATGAACCACAAGATGATCGGCCAACAATTTATCTACTAAGGATTCTGGCTTTATTCTGTAAACGGAACGTCGCAGATGAGGAAAGCACTGAAATCTAATCTAGTATTTTCAGCTGTTGAACATAGGCTGTCGAACTTGTTTAATGAGGACGGCGCAGAACAAGAATGATGACAGAATCTGTCAGACTGATGCAGGATTTTTCAGGACAGTAATACGTTAAATTTCTTAATGTGAAGCCCATCTGAGCAAAGAGATAGAGACAAGTCTGTGCTTTCGATGTAGAAGCGAAGAGTCAGAAAATACTCCTTGCAGGCATATATTATTCAGTCACACTGGAGAAACAGTCGATCCATGCTGATCAGAGAGTTGCTGATTCATTATTACTAGGACAAGCTTGGTCATTTACAGAAGGCAAATAACGATCCAACCAGCGATGAAGAGATAGCAAAAGCATTTTCGCGTGCGTGCTGTCATTGGTTCGTTAAGAATGCACATGTTGTGCTCGGCGGCTGAAAACGCGCGGTCATACGGTCGAGCGGAAGAGCAGCATACGCAAACCGGGTGACGGGCAGGTCACTTGACCGTAATTGACATAAGAAGGTACCGGCGTTAATGGACGTTCATGATTTTATTGCCGCACGTATGCCTACCCATCTCTGCAGTTGATGAAATATGGCCAAAAATGATCGGAAAACAAGCGTTGCGGAATGCTGTGGAAATAAAAAAAAGCTTTTCTAAATGGCACGCGCCGCCGGACGATGACGTTGAGCGAACCACCGCGACAGCGCGGCGCGGCGCGGCGCAGCGCGACGCGACGCGACGAACGTCAACGACCACCACCGTTGCCGACGGTAAGCTGTACATGTGACGCAACGGTGCGGAGAACACCGGCTCCGCTGCTGTCCTAGATCCAGCACCGGTGACAGCCATGACGACAGGATAGAACAGCACTGGACGAAACGTTGCACAATGGAAATCGAACGAACAAATCCGATCGACCATCACAACAGCTTGCTGCGTGCCATTACCTATCACATGACCGATCGCCGGACGTTCGGTTCGGTTCGGCTCGGACAGACGGCTGGACTGGCCACTGCCAACGGTGGCTGACGTTGCGCGAGTGTTCAGTTGGGGTATCAAGCAACTTATCCTGCCCGGTTAACGTCCGAGGCGGTGGGGGCGGTGTCACTCGAGGCATCTCTGTTTCTTGAGTGCTTGATTCTGACGCTTACCGTGATTACGGTAACAGATTTGCT